AGAAAATCCCTATCAAAGTGTGCATGATACTCAGTACAGAATTCCATTTGAAGATGAAGACTATTGAAAGAAATTTTAAAATTCGTATGGTACGAGCAAAAACCTTGTGTAATTAGTCCATTCTAGAGCAAAGTAACAAAACAAAAGACATTCTGCTTACTTACTTACTTACTTACTTTAAAATTTACTACAAAGATATTTTAATCAAAGCATGACTGTGACATAAAACTTAGACCAATGAAACACTAGAAAGCCTAGATGTGAATTTGTACATCAACAATCAACGGAACTTCAGCAAGCATATGAAAAATGTGTGGAAAAGACAGTCTTCAATAAGCGGTAGTGGCAGATATGGGTTCATTTCACATTTTTTGTACATTTAGGTTTTTACAAAGTCATGACAATATTATGACTTCATTTCTTCTTGGACAATGTGCAAAACAGAAAAGATAATTTTTTAACATATTCTATTATCCAATAAACATCTCTTGTGGGGCCAGGGAGATGGCTCAATGGAATAAGTGCTTCCCTGGCAAGCGCAAGGGCCTGAGTTCAATCCCCGGTTCTGCAAAAAAAAAACCAAAAAACAAACCAAAAACAAACAAACAAACAAACAAAACATCTCTTGTGAGATACGAAACATTTACAAGGGTTCTTCATGACAAAACATTAGTGAGCTATAAATGGATGCTGTACTGTAAAAATTCATTAGATACACCATAGAAGGATGATTTATTTTATTTTATTTTATTTTATTTTATTTTATATTTTAGGGAAGGGTCTACAGGGCGTTCAGGGTTTCACTACTAGATCGGACTCATACTGATCTGCCTGTTTACAGCCTCCCAAAAGCTGGGATTACAGGTGTGCAGTACCACAGCCAGCATGTCCTGTGGTACGGGGGATCAAACCTGAGTCCTTGCACTTTTGCTTAGACCACTGAGCTCTCTCATAGCCCAGCATAGCAGTGTGATTTTTTTTTTTTTTTGCCTTTAGAAAGAGATTTATCAGATATCTAGGCTTAGGAGATAAATGGCTATATAATATGGATCAGATTCCAACAATAATATATTAGTACAAGATTGCACACTTAAATTTGTACAACAGAAAATGAAATAGAAATCAAACAAAAATATCCAAATTACTGTAAACCAATTACCTATAAATGAAGGGCTTTGAAGTTAGCAAAACTAACCTAAAATGTTAAAAAAAAAAAAGCAGAGAAGTATAGACAAATAAAGGAAAGATTTATTTGAATTTTTAAAAGGCATCATCATTAGTGACATTAATTAGTACAGTTTCAATGAAATGCTGAAAAATTAGTATCTAAAAAATACAGGTTAAAAAATAATTTTTCAATGGAAACAGAAGGCTTGATGGAGTATAACCCCATGAGGAAAGAAGAGACTTTATTATTTAATATTCTAAGTGACACTGTTCATCTATTTATATATTTAAGAATCACTGTCAGTGTATGAGTCCTTCTAAAATGCTAGCTACATATTTTAAAAAAGAAAAAAAGAATAGAGGTCATTTTCTTTTAGAAGTACAAAA